GGAATGGGGTGCGGAGGAGGAGGAGGGGGACGGGAGGGGTCAGTCACCTCGGCAGCAGGTTTTGCTCCCCACCAGCATGACCCTGGCCCCGGGGAGGAGCGGGATGCCATCCCCACCGCGGGCAGGGAGCAATGTGGGGCAACCTCGCTGCATCCCGGCCCTGCAGGGACCACACAGGGTTTATTTTATGAAAGGATGCTCAGCCTCCCTGCCAGCCAGCCACACACCTCCAAAGTGCTGCCGGCTCCCACGGCCGCCACTCCTGCCAGGTCCCTGCTCCCCGCAGCCGCACGAGCCCGGGCAGGGGCTGGCAAGTTCGGTGCTGGGCGCCGTGCCCCCATGGGAAGCCTTGGTGCGGCGGCAGGGGGGGGATGAAGCTAGAGAGGTTCCTGTAATCCTGAAAATCCCGAAATCCCAGTACCCAAAAGGGGCATGGTGGGGACTTGCTCCTCGCCCCAGCCTCAGTTTTCCCTCGCCGGAGCCCGCAGGCGCCCTCGGCACAGACAAAACGCTCTCGTGCGGCCCCAGCAAAGCCTCCGGTAGCCGCTTCTTAACTGTTCACCGAAGCGGCTTTTGGTAATAAGTTAACCTGGTAATGAGACCTGTTGCCGAGACAGATGCAAATGATTGGGAAGTGCTCATTAGAGGGGATGGAAGGAGGCACTTAGGCCTTGAAAAGCACCCAGCCCTTCCCGGGGCTGGCCCTGCACCATATTAGAGCCCATTTTACAATAATTGCTCCAGAGGAGGAAATCTATTTGGATTCATCATAAAGTATTTATTAACAAGAGCTTATTCATAACTTTTGCTGCTCGCCGGCATGGCGCGGCAGAGCTTCCCGGCCTGCTCGGCAAGCCCTAACGAGGCTTCCCCGGCCCTGGAGAGCCACACTGCTGTGCTGGGGGGGAAACTGAGGCACGTCAGGCATGGAGCAGCGGGAGGGAGCGCAGCGGCAGCTGAAGCTCCCGGGAAAGCGGCGAGGGATGGTATGAGCTGTGCTGGCCTCGCCTGCGCGCACCCAGCCCCGCGCCGGAGCTGCCCGTGGGGCAGAACAGGCTGTTGCGGCCACGCTCCCCCACAGCTCCCAGCTGGGGTGGGGAGGACCCAGCCCTGCACTTGCAAAAACCCTCTTGCAGCCCGTGCCGGGGCACGGAGCCCCGGTGCCCGGGGCAGCCCGGTTGGCACCGTTGGCACAGGCAGAGGTGAAGGCAGGACACGGTGCAGCCTCTCCGCAGCTCCTCTCC